ATCCACTTTGTCCTAGCGTTTGTGAACGTTTCAGCACAATCGCTGTGTATCTGTTTTCCATATTCTTGGTTTGCATCTAGTGTCATTGCATTGTCGTAAAATATCTCTATTGGATACCCTTGTTTACAAACAAACCGCCTTATCACCATGATGTAAGATTGTGATGAAAGATCAAATACAATCTCAAGCTGGACGGCTCGAACAACCAAACCGGTAATCACAACTACTGGACGTGTCCAGGCAATTAGCTGTCCACTCATTAAATGGTGGTCAGCTTGCATGATACGAACAGTAAACAGGGGTACCACAAAAGTTCAAATAATGGACGCAGTAGTTCAACTCCGCCCATAAAAAAAAATCACCACTACAGTTATCATTCCCTTTTATGCGGTTGGTGGTACCGTCCACCAACCGCTGTTTCTTGGCTGTCCTTCAACTAATCACGCTGTTTTTGTTGCATGTGATTAGTGACAACCATAAACTAGTTATATACAGAAAATCAGCTCAATTGGTTGAAGGACAACCGAGAAATAGCGGAGGGTGGATGGCACCACCATCCGCATAGATGGTACTGTACGTACCATTTGTTTAGAAATCGCTAGAGGGGGAGAGATGAGCGGAGAGAATGATTTGACTGTCAAAATCTGAGCCAATTGAAAATTCCTATTAGAATTCGTCGTTAGAGGATTTCTTATTCTTAGTAGAACCAACAATCAATACGAAACTAACGATTTTAAATTGGCTCACCACTTTAGTAGCCTATTGGTCCCAAGCAAACGATTAACGTACCCTATTCTAGTTGAAATTCTATTACTACACTATGTTTGTTTTGATTCGCTATGAAAGTTTGACAGATAACATCAGGGGTGTGTGGAATCATGCAGAACATGCAGGGGTGAGTGAAATAGCTTGGGACTGCTTGGGACCGTTGTTCTGGTACTGAGTGAGCCAAAAATAATAATGATTTTTTTCGGGACCCAGTGGTCTTAGAGTTACCTCTATGGAAGAACTAATTTGAGAAAATTTCAATCGAACAGAAATTCAATCACCTTTATTTTTCATGTGCTTCTCAAATTAGATTAGTTTTTGGAATCAAATATAATATTCTATTTCTATTGATTCATTGAACTTTGTTGATCAAAAAATGTGCAAAATATTGCGATACACTCAGTTATTATTTTGCACGTACATCTTATCAAAAAGAAAAGTCATGTGTAACGCTACCTTCTGAAAAGTGTTGCTAGATAACTGACACACCTGATAACTGACATACCCTGCTGCCAAATTGTATTTTGTTTTCTCTGCCCGTCTCTCCTTCTGATGATTTCTATTTTTCTCCTTTGCATCCCAACCGTGTGGCCCATAGAGATTAGTGATGCTTAAGGCTAAAGACATCGTTACTCAATTTCTATTCTTCTTCCTTATGAAATACTCTTCAATCATCATCGTTAGTAAACACATACATTCACGCAATAGTCATCCGAAAATTTAAAGCAAGTATTTCCTCATTTTACAGTGATAATTTCCTGGTTAAACACTTTCACTGTATTATCTTATACATGAGATTTTTAATAACCTGCTTCTAAACTCTATAGGTGAACGAAATAATCTGACTAACCTAAAAAAAAATATGAAATTAGATCTGTCAAAATGAGTCTGATAGCGATTTGTTATGTGTTTTCGTCGGATTTTCACTAGCACGGTCTCAAATAGTGCACCAAGACAACCGGTCGTGAAAATCTCTATGTAGTCCACGCCAACTTAACTTGAGGGTATTACGTCAGTGGTGTCAGTTGTTGTTCTGGAATGGTCACTATTCGAGGTGTCAGCACTCAGCGGATGGCAGTTCTTGATCTTGCATCATTGACAGTTCTTCATTATGTCGAATCTTTGGCACATTTCGATAACCACTGCCTGCCTGTTGGTGTTTCCATTTTGTCGGTGATAGTGGTCCAAGATATGTAATTTGATGATCCTTGGGTACCCTAATAAAAATTGTATGGTTAATTTGCTTAACGACGTGTTCTGGGTATCATCCAAACCATTTGTGGAATAGTTCAATGATTTGGGTTATCGTTCGTTTATGGTTATTTTTATTAGAGTAGGCTCTCGGGAAAACGAGCGTCGAACAAAACATAGATGGCATTTTCAGAATTCTCTTCCAGAAGAACGATGTCAAATTCGGCAGCAATTTGAGACGACTTGTATAGCGGGTTTGTTTTCTCCATTGGAGTCCAATTTTCTATTCTCTCGGCCCAATTCAGCAAAAACAGGGATGCCACATGTCTTATCCACTACTTTTGAAATTTTTAAGCGTGGGAAGGTGTTCACTATTTCAAATAAAAAAAAAAAAAAAAAAAAATGAATTCATACAGAAGCTCAGGAAACTTTGAAAAAGTTAAGGAATCGTTGTAGAACTTCAAATAATTTCTAAGATCTTCAGGGATTCTCATATTTAGAACATTGAACAATTTCGTAGAATTTCTGGAAATATTTTAAAAGTGCATCCAACTGTGTAGAAATTCAGTGAATTTTGTAGGGCTTCAGTGAATTTCGTCGGGATGCAGAGATTTTTGTAAAGTTCAGCACTTTTTGTATAAGTTGAGTAAACTTTGTAAAAAATAAACAAATTCGTCTACATTTGAAAAAATTCGGGCATTTTTTTTTAACTTCAGGGAAAATCCTTAAACTTCATGGACTTCGTAGATATTCAAGGAACATCGCAGAAATTCAGAAACTTTGTAGGAAACTCAGGGAACTTCTTAGAGGTCCGGAAAATTTCGTAAAAATTCAGGGAACTTTGGAAAAAATCGAGAATACTTCGGATTGGGAATTTTGAGGACCTTCTTTTAACTTCAGGGCACTTGGTTGAAGTTTTAAGGGAATTCATTTGTTTTCCTCGGGACATAAATCCACAGCGAGCAGTATTCTGATCTATTGTAGTTTATCCCGTGTTCTTAGTTTAGTGCACGCCATTTTTTTATTTTTTGATTAGGACTTTCAGCCCTGGGCTGGTTCGTCTCCTCATGCCATATTACTCCATCACTATTGATAAATTAAGCAGTACACCCCCAACGGTGGGTGCGCCCCTTTGTCAGTCAAAAACGGATTCCTTTGCAACAAAATCAAGCAATAACACCGAACAGCGAATAAAAGGCTTTCGTAGATTAAAAAATACTACCTAAGTATTTTTTTTTTCTTTGTTTCTAGATAATCCTTGGTAGACAGAGCCGAGTCTTGTCACTATCAATAAGGCATAAAAAGTGAAAAGGACTAAGACTCCCAGTTTTAAGTAGTTTGGACTAGGCTTACCTGGTAAATTTTAAAGCCAGTAACGCACCACGAAAAGGTTATCTACCTTACATTACTGGGCAATGGAAGTCCATTTAAGTTTATGGAATAACAGGGAACTTCATAGAAAATAGATTTTTTTTTTATAAGTTCAGGGAGCTTCGTAGACATGAAGCGAACTTCAAAGTAGGTTAGCAAGCTTTGTGGATGTTTAGATCATAACGTTGAAATTCTAGGAACTTTTATAAAACTCGAAGCTCGACAAACTTAGAAGCTCAGCTTATATTGTAGAAGCTCACAAAATATCGTAGAAGATCAGCAAACTTATTAGAATTTCAGGTATCTTCGTATCAGTTTAGAGAACTTCGTAGGAGTTTTTCAGAGGAGTTATTTTAAATAGCTCAATGAACTTCCTGGTAGTTTTTGGAATTTAATTTAATTTCAGAAAACTACCCATATGATCGGAAATATTCGAAGAAAAGGTTATGGGTCTTCCCGGAAGTTCGCAACAGTTGACGGAACCTGCCATTAATTCGTATAGATACTCAGCGAACTTCAGATAAGTTCAATGTATTGGGTAAAAAATTCAGGCTGCTTCGCTTGAGCTCATGGTTTTAGTCAGGGTGCCTTCCATTCATTTTGACTAAAAAAATGTTTTAGAAAATTATGGAATAATAAGATATTATGGTGGTATTTTGTATGTGTAAGGAACAAGAAAAGATTTTAAAGTTTGTGTTTGACACATAAAACCTGCAAATTTAGCTTTGACAGAGCCACAATGAGCGATTTTCTGATCGCCTCTTCGCGAATAGTGAAGAGCGAAGAGTGGGTGAGATAAATAACAAAATCGCTTATTGCCACTCTCATGCAGCAACATTGGCTGGTATTATGTGTCAAATACAAACTCCACAATCTTATCTTGTTGCTTACACAAACAAAATATTATAATAATATCTTATTATTCCATAATTTCATAAAACATTTTTATGGCCAAAATGAATGGAAGGAACCCTGGTTTTAGTTCAAGAAGCCTTGTGGAAAGACTTAGCAAACTTCTTAAAATTTTAGAGAACTTCGTTAATATTATTGAATTTGAGATATAATTTTAAAAAATCCCCTGGATATTTATCAAGTCTTCGAATATTGTTCTGGTAAAATGCACAAATGCACACAATGATTTACTGAACATTTCAGCTGATTTCATGGTACTTATTCACCTTTCTACAGCAGCTTTTCCGATGATATATGGTACAATTACACTTCAAAATGGTGCAAAGTGGTGCATACTAAGGAGTATCCTATTGGCAACACTGCTAGCTACGTTTTCTGCTGCGATTAGGTCGTTAATTAGTGATACTTTTTTCGGTGTTATATCGGTTATAAAATACTTTTTCGTCGTTCGTGATTCAGTTTTTGTACTACTGCTTTCCGTTTTCGTGAATTTCGTTCGGTGTGTTGTGATTTTCGTGGTGCGGTGATAAAGTGAAAGTGACTCATTGTTTACATACACTTTCCCAAGCACTCCCCACGCGAATTTTTTTTTTCCGAAGCGCCATCTGCCAGCAAAACTTTTAAGCTTGCAATCTTTCATTGAGCTCGTGGTGTAACTGCTGCATAAATTTCGGCGAATTGCTGTCGTCTGGACCCTACTGTTGTATTGCGCTACGTTGGAATTTCGTTGTTGGTCTGCATCGCCTTGTTCCTGCAAAATGAGTGTAATCTGCCACGCTTGCACCAATGATGTCCAAGAGGAACGCATTACCTGCCGTGGGTTCTGTAGCGCGGTGTTTCACCTAAAATGCTGTCACCTGCCAAGTGAAATGTTGGATGAAATCGATCGGAATAGGCAGCTCTTCTGGATGTGTAAATCCTGTGCTGCCATAATGTCAGACGTTCGTCACAAGAAAAACGTGAAGGCTGCTTACGATGCTGGTTTGGAGAAACAACTGAGCGGTCATACTGAGCTACTGGGGAAACTAAAACTGGAAATTCTGGAGGAATTGAAAAACGAAATTCGATCCAACTTCACAAAGTTGACCAATACCACTTCCACCACTCCGGTGTCCTCTAGACGGTCTGGTAATAGGTCACGCACCATAGGAAGCCGACGGTTATTCGAGAAAAAGGACAATAACTTGCCACCTCTTATGACTGCTACCGGAGATTCGCCGTCTCCAAGTCTAGGCCGTCTAACTGTTCCCGTTTCTAAGGATAAGTTTTGGTTATACCTATCTCGGATTTCCCGTGACGTTTCTGCTGAGCAGATCACCGAACTTGCCAAGCATCGTTTGTCAACTGAGGATGTTGAAGTTATCCGACTGGTTGCTAAGAGTAAAGATATCCAAACCATGTCGTTTGTCTCCTTCAAAGTAGGCGTCTCTACAAATTTGAAGGCGAAAGCATTGTCGTCCTCTACATGGCCCAAAGGAATGCTGTTTCGTGAATTTGTTGACAACCGCAAAGCCGAAAATTTTTGGAAGCCGCCTGGATTGCCAATAAATACACCGCAGACAACTCCGAAATCCAGCGAGTCACCTCATCAAATGCCTATGACGGAGTGATATCACTGAGTCAAGACCCAGAGCCACTACGTCGTATTACCTACTACCCGAATCCGGGACGCTCACTTGCCGCTAGCTTCTTGGAAGCCCCTGATCCCCTCATCACAGTCGAGCACCTCCAGCCAGCGACCTTCAGCCGTCCCGGTCCTGTGTATGAGTCCGGAAAAGGGGTCTTCCAAAATCCAACTGCAGGCGAGTATTCTAGTTTTCCGAACAATTCTGTCCCTGAAACGCTTATCACTTCTAGTCGTAATTCGTCAATAAACTCGTTCGTGGTTTACCCTAGTCGGACACCGGGACGCACACTTGCCGCATGCTTTTTGGAAGCCCCTAATTCACCCATCGCAGTCGAGCCAATTCTGCCAGCGACCTCCAGCCGTCCCGGTCCTGCGTTTGGATGTGAAGATGGGGTCTTCCGAAACCCTATTTCAGGCAAGTACGATGATAATTTGAGCAATTCTCTTCCTAAAATGTATGATGCTTACAGCCGCTTATTGCAAAACAAATCACATCCTGTTGTCTTCAACATGCCACTGGGACGCACACTTGCCGCCAGCCTTGTGGAAGCCCCTAGTCCTCTCATCGCAGTCGAGCCTAAGCTGCCAGCGTTCAACAGTCGTCCCAGCTCTGCGCATGAGTTGAGAGAGGGGGTCTTCCAAAATCAAACCGTAGGCAAGTACAGTCAGCAAACAACAACTTCTCTGCCTGTAAATATCTTGGTTTCCAGAGTACCATCTTACGTCTCTGCTCCACGACAATTGTGGTCTAATATTGACAATAACAGCACACCAGCCTCACCATGTTCAATCCAGTTGCCGCTGCACGTCGCAGGTAATTCTCCAGAAGCATCGAGGCCCTCTGACGTTGTCCTGCAAGATGCTGTTTTTGTTCATCGCAACCGACTCGTTCCTGAGATTGAAAGTGGTAGTCCTGTGATCCACCCAGTCTGCGCTCAGACTCAACAGATTACTGGCATGCCTCCCTCAAATTCTTCTTCTCAACTTCGTATCTTCTATCAAAATGTCCGTGGACTCCGAACGAAGATCGATGCCTTCTATCTCGCTGCGGCAGATTCGGAGTATGATGTGATAGTTCTAACCGAGACGTGGCTCGACACTTGCATCCTATCAACTCAGCTATTTGGTGGATCATTCACTGTTTTTCGGACTGATCGCAATCCACTGAACAGTAGAAAGCTGCGCGGCGGTGGAGTTTTGATTGCAGTGTCTACCAGATTGTGCTGCTGTGTCGACCCAGCTCCAGTTAGTGATGCTTTGGAACAGCTGTGGGTAAAAATCAAATTGCAAACGTGTTCAGTCAGTATTGGAGTATTATATCTACCACCTGATCGTAGAGATGATCTGTCCCTCATTCAGCTTCATAGCGATTCTGTTAGTTCAGTAATATCATGCTTGAAACCTCATGATTTTGCGCTTCAGTTCGGTGACTACAATCACCCCAACATGCATTGGACTGCTTCAGAGGATGGCGGACTTCATATAGATTCCAGTATATCCCGTTTTTCAACTTCGGATGGTGCTCTATATGATGCCTTTTGTTTCAATGGTCTGACGCAAATCAACTCTGTGAAAAATGCCAGTTCTCGTACTCTTGACTTAGTACTGGTGAACGATACAGCACTACCTAACTGCAGCATTTCTGAAGCGGTTGAATCTCTTGTAGAACTCGACACTGCACATCCCGCTATTGAGGTTGCCGTTTCTTTGCCGTCACCAGTGAGATTTGATCAGCCACACGAGAACCCGCAATTTGATTTCCGCCGTGTCAACTATGACTTGATGAGTGAAGCATTTTCTGTGATTGATTGGCAATTTTTGGATGACGAACGAGATCTGGATGACATCGTTGAGTCGTTCAACTCTGAGATACGTCGTGTTATCGAAGCTCACGTGCCACTTCAGCGTCCTACTCTGAAACCTCCATGGACAAACAATCGGCTTCGTAGATTGAAGCGCCGTCGACGTACTGCTCTTCGGAAATTCAAACGTAATCGATCACAACACCTGAAACGTCGTTTTGTTCTGGCCAGCAATAAATACACTAGCTTTAACCGCGAAATGTATGCTCGTTATATAGACCGTACGCAGAGAAATCTACGCCTGCATCCCAAACGTTTCTGGTCATTTGTTCGGTCGAAGCGTAAGGAAAATGGGTTACCTTCGTCTATGTATCTCAGTGCCCGCTCTGCTAGCACAGATGCCCACAAGTGTGAGCTGTTTGCTGATCACTTCAAGAGTGCCTTCTCGGACATGTCGATTTCGTCCTCGCATCTAAATGCAGCCATCCATGACACACCATCAGATAGGCTCGACTTTGGAATTTTCCAAATCACTGAGGAGCACGTACAAAAAGCGATACGTAAACTTAAACATTCTGCGTCATACGGTTCGGATGGTATTCCTGCATGCATTCTTAAGAATTGCTCAAGTGTCTTATTGATGCCGCTAGTGAAATTGTTTAATATTTCATTACAGCGAATGACATTCCCATCCGCGTGGAAAACTTCGGTCATGACTCCTATTCACAAAAAGGGGGACAAGTGTGATATTTCCAATTACCGCGGGATAACGTCGTTGAATGCTTGCTCCAAACTCTTTGAGATAATCGTGAACGATGCCTTGTTCGAAGCTAGCAAGAATTACATCTCTAGTGCCCAGCATGGATTTTTTCCAAAAAGATCTGTGACAACGAACCTCACTCAATTCACTTCATTGTGCATTCGATCGATGGACGCTGGCATGCAAGTAGATGCTATATACACTGATTTCAAAGCTGCATTCGACCGAGTGAACCATGCTATTCTGCTTCGAAAACTCGAGAAATTTGGAGTATCCGTCGCCTTTGTTCGTTGGTTCGAATCATACCTGTCAGGACGGTCTATTAAAGTTAAATTAGGCTCCTCACATTCAACCGCCTTCCCGATTGTATCCGGAGTTCCACAAGGGAGCAACCTAGGCCCCCTATTGTTTTCGCTTTTCATTAATGATGCATCGTTTGTTTTACCATCTGGAAATCGTGTTTTCTACGCCGATGATGTTAAGATTTACATGGTAATCACATGCATCGAGGACTGTGCCTACCTGCAGAGTTTGTTGGAGTCATTTGAGGATTGGAGCAAACGGAACTTACTGGAACTGTGTGTAACGAAATGCAACACTATTTCGTTTTCCAGAAAACGTCATCCGATCATCTTCCACTATCGTCTTGCTGGTCATGATCTAGAACGGCTGAATCAGGTTAGAGACCTTGGGGTGATATTGGACTCTGAACTTAACCTCCGGACACATTATGCTGATGTGATATCAAAAGCGAATAGGCAGCTTGGATTTATCTTTAAACTTGCCGATGGATTCCGTGACCCTCTGTGTCTGAAATCACTGTACTGCGCCTTGGTTCGCTCGATCCTTGAATCTGCTGTAATAGTTTGGTGTCCGTACAGCAGTATATGGGTTGACCGTATAGAATCGGTTCAAAGAAAATTTGTGCGCCTAGCTCTTCGTTATCTACCTTGGCGTGAACATCTAAATCTACCTCCCTACGAACATCGATGCATGCTGTTAGGAATTGAAACACTGGAGAAACGAAGGTCTGACATGCAAGCGGTTTTTGTCGCCAAAGTATTAACTAGTGAGGTGGATGCACCTGCCATTCTTGCCGATATCAACGTTTATGTACCTGAACGCCCCCTTCGTCGGCGTAACTTCCTGCATTTGGCATCCCGCAACAGTCGATACGGGCAACACGACCCAATACGGTTCATGGCCTCTCGCTTCAACGATGTATCTGAGCTTTTCGACTTTGAAGCTTCTGCAGCTACTTTTCAACGCCGCCTAAGTAATCGATTGTAAAGCTGTTATGTGCATGGATTGATTATGAGCAGGTGAGTGACTGTCCATCCCCTGATGACTGTATGAATTGTGCTACCTGTTTTCATTTTTGTTTCCGGTTGCTTTCGACCCTTCCACGAGGACTTGACAATCAATGACGATGCTGCACTGTTGCTGACACACTTTTATGACACTGACCGCATTTTAACGTTTTTAATTTACACTGTAGTAATTATTGTATTTTGCATTGTTTTTGCTGTGAACTGTGTAATTGTTAATGTTTAGTTTCTGTTTCTATGTACTTAATTTAAGAAAAGAAACAGGGTTTTTATGCCAATTTGAGTTCACCATGACTCAATTTGGCTTTTCCCTGTCCAACTTCATTAAGACAACCTTGTCAGATGGAGGAATACAAATAAACAAATAAACAAATAAACAAATGCTTAATGTACAGTTTTCTCTTTTTTAGGGAGCGTACTTTAAATATTTACTGAGCATTTTAAGATTTTTAACGTATTTTGATCAATCATTTAAGGAGCAACCCGATCTATTTTAAGGAGATTTTTTTTACGTATTAAGGATAATTTCATCTGTTTTATTGAGCAAAAGTAGGGCTGCCTTAAAGTATGTAGTGACAATATATTTGTAAATCGTCAACAAATGGCTGAGCTATGATTTTTCAAACTTTGCAAGTTTTCCGTTACACATTTTACCGCAGGCATCGTGTTCGGAGTGTGAACTGCTTCATTTTCCCCAACGTGTGAACGAATACCCTGGAAACCTCAGGCCACTATTAACGAGAACAAGTTATTCAATGATTGATACTTATATACTCCACCCGTACCAACTATGGAGTCATAATGTGATCTAAGTAAGTCACAGGATGTTACAGTTTTATGTAAGTTTTCCCAATATTTACATACGATTACTGCGCATCACTCAAGGCTCGTACAGCTGATTTCCAACCCAAGAAAGAGATAGGGAAAAACTGCTGCACATATCTTCTCTAGCCGTGCGAAAGTCTATTAGCACATCGTGGAAGAGGCAACAGTGCCATTCATATTGACAGAGGCAATTTGCGACAGAAAATGAAATTGCAATTTCATATCGGTTGGTCGTTTGGAGCAACAACTAGTAGCAGCTTCATGTGTT